GTTGAAGAGTAAACTCGTATGCGGTTATTTTTACAGTACCAAAATAATGCTATCCATACATTTTAGGAATCGCTGTTGTGACGACTAACATTTCAATTACAGTACAAACATTTTGAAAAGGTACTTCTACAAAGAAAAACTCTAAAACGTTATGAGAAAATTCAAAGCTCCTGTAGTTTTCATTCTGTATTAGTATTTGAATAAAACGCTTTACAGATACGTTTTGCAAAGGTGCATTATTCATCATTGAGCGTTTCATACAAAACGTAGATGACATTAACGACACGACACGACCCCTGCGATATTTTCACATTTTTTGATTAACCTTGACTCAGTTTAACTCATTAATTACAAGAATACTCATTCCTCACGGAATTATACAGCGAACTCGGATTTCACTCCGATGCTTTCAGCTTTTTGTCAGTTTAACTGTCAAAAAAAAGCACAGCTGGCGTATTGTGCGAAAGACTCAACAGCCATTCAGTGTACAAACAGATTTGACAATTAACGCTCGATAGAAAAGACGGAGAAGCTCAGCTCACGGATGTCTTTCCCTTATGGGAAAACATATGCAAATCGAGGAAACCGTTTTCGGTTTTCCAGACTCTAACCTGAAGAGTCATCAATAATTACTTTGTTCCAGAAGTTATTTCTGTATTCCTTCTGCTAACACATTAACCGCCGGAAGACGTGTGACAATGAGACGAGCTACAGAGCAAATAACAGAATAATTAATAATGCATTAAAAAACGGAAATATAAACACAGTATTGAAAACACGATTTTCGGTTAAAATAAATTAGACACCAACATGTTTTCAATAAAAATACGCCAATCTCTTTCTGAGACTAACATTTTTGCAAGAAATCTTATCTACAAAACTAAAGAAAAAAACGTTTCTTCAAAGCTCTCCTATAATAATAATAATAATAATAATAATAATAATTGCTTACAATTATATAGCGCTTTTCTGGACACTCCACTCAAAGCACTTTACAGGTAATGGGGACTCCCCTCCACCACAACCAATGTGGATGATTTACCTGGATGATGAGACAGCAGCCATAGTGCACCAGAACACTCACCCCACATCAGCTATCAGCGGGGAGGAGAGCAGAGTAATGTAGCCAATTCATAGAGGGGGATTATTAGGAGGCCATGATTGGTAAGGGCCAATTGGAAATTTGGCCAGGACACTGGGGTTACACCCCTACTCTTTTCGAGAAGAGCCCTGGGATTTTTAATGACCACAGAGAGTCAGGACATCTCATCCGAAGGACGGCATTAGGTCCCACATGGACTGCAGGGTGAGCTGGCCCCACTAACACCTCTTCCAGCAGCAACCTTAGTTTTTCCCAGGAGCTCTCTCATCCAGGTACTGACCAGGCTAACACCTGCTTAGCTTCAGTGGGTTGCCACTTGTGAGTTGCAGGGTGATATGGCTGCTGGCCATATATATACTGTAGCTGTCAGATTAATGATTGGATATGGAGTTTGTGCGAGGGCTGCCACACACAGGTTGGGCTGATTCTCCATGCCCCTGGCTTTAGCATTAAAACAAAAGAACTGGATTTTGCATAAAAGCTTTCAAGGAAGCTGTTCCAGAGGCTGCTCTCTGATGAGATCAGGTGGGTCTCACTTGCAGTATCTTTGGCCATTGTATATATACAGTAGGCAGAACCTGAGGCTTGACTGGAGGATCCAGTCTGTTGATGCTTTATCGGCCTGAGCGGGATGGAAAGGCCTGCTGACTTGCTTGTAAAGAAAATAATTCCTTTTTACAGGTAATGGGGACTCCCCTCCAGCACCACTTATGAAAGATGTAATGGAAGCAAACGTGTGCCAGTCTGCTCACCAGACACCAGCTATCAGGGGGGTGGAGAACAGAGTAATGAAGGCAATTCATAGATGGGGATTATTAGGAGGCCATGATTGGTTGAGGCCAGGGGGAAATCTGGCCAGGACACTGGTGTAACAGCCCTACTCTTTGCAAGAAACAGCCTGTGATAGAGGGATAGAGCAGAGGAGCTCCCTTTTCTCCCGTCAGTGTTGTGCCGGCTTGCTGCGTATTAACTGGCGTCAGGTGGGACCCTGGCCCTGAGAGGAGAAGGCCTGTCTCCCCAGACTCGCACAGACACAAGCCGTTTTCCAAGTGAAGGAACAACAGAGGACGCTGTCCGTGTTTGTCACAAAGCTGCCTGGAGGACCACCTGCACCTGCTTTCCCAAGTCAACAAACATTTAGGCCACAGCTTCCAGTCTGTGGTCAACTGTGGGACGTCTCCCAACAAGCTTCCAACCACCAACATTCAAACCAGTGCAGCGTGACTAGGCCTGTTCCCTAATTTCTACTGTATATGAACTCTTTTCTATTTCTTAATTCCCCCCCTGGACTGCATTACTTCCAAGAGTTTTAATCGCATAATGCTGCCAAATGTTTTTAAAAAATGAATTAATGCTTTCGGAATTAAGTCCTGCAATGGAAATGGAGCTCATCCTGCCAAATCCTGCGAGATGCTGCCTGAGGTTACTATGCACTAACACCAGGGACATCTCTCTCTCCAAATAAGGGCTATTATTATAAGTCACATTCCTAAACATATTGTCTCAGTTTTTCCATAAACCCAGTAGGTACAGTCTGCTGTGGCACTGTGAAAGACTGTCAGGACTAGACTGTGATCATGCATCTAAAACTGACAAACTAAGAAAACTGATAAAAAATAAAACAACTTTACTCTGAAGCTCAGAAGTCAGCATGGTTTGAGGGGTTTCATAAAATCCAAAGCTTTTAAGCATGGTGAAAGTTCTTCAAGTAGTCCAATTAAGATAGTAATTAGTGGAATTACATAGCTGAGATCACAGGTAGTATAGAAACCTAGAACTACGCATTGCACTGGTTCTTCAGATGAGATGTTAAACTGAGATCCTGACTGATTGTCATTAAAGATGCCAGGGTATTGTTCATAATAGTTCCACTCTGGTCTTTTACAATCTGACCTCACTAAAGTTACTCCTTAATTCAGCTGGTGAAGCAGCGTCTCATTTCACCAGGATTGCTGTCCTGTGGTGCTTCAGTGCTTTATGCAATGGATTTCGTCCTATTTCCAATTAAAGTACTTTTGATCCTTAAATATCGGAAGCTCCATATTAATGCAAACAATAATTACAGTTTAAGATGGGTACCTGGGAGTGAATAGGACAAAAGCTAAGACAGCAAGCTAACATTTTTCTTCTGTGGAATGTCTTAAGAGTTCATATGAATTCAGAAGACAGAATTAAGGAAGTACACATGAAAGAATTCTGGAAAGCTTAGTCATCATTTCTGTTTATCCGAATGTAATTGAGGAGAGCAACTGATATACCACATAGACTATCAGTTAAATCTTAAGACCACCAAAAGCAGCTGAATCTGGCGTTCGAAAAAATACATTATTCCACAATTCGTCTTGAGTGGTTTACAAAACCTTAAGAGAAGTTTATCCAGAATATAACTGTAAAAAATGAAGAAAAACTATACTGGGATTAGTAGCAAGCATTTCCACTAATTGACCTGAAGATCTGGAACTTTTATTACTATCATAGCTTATTTGGTGACCGCATTCATTTTTAACCCTCTGGCTGAAGGTTATGAGATTATTTTAGTTCCAACAGACATGTAATAAAACACAACACAGTTACATTACTGTTTTTATAAGAAATCTATTTACACTGAAAGACAACATGCAGTTTTCAAATTTGCAGGAACAAATCAAAAACATATTTCACATCTTGACATAAAAGAGGAACTACAGTATAACAGTTTTAAACTATAACATTTTAAACAGTTTGGAAATAGACAAACACTTGCACGCCTCCCCATATGAATTAAACGTTTTAATAAAACTGCATTTTGATTAAAGGAAGGCTTCTGCAGGCCAGATAGGTCAGGGAAATGACTTTGAACAGCAGCTTTGCAAAACATGGTTGTAATAAATTCTCGCTTGTGAAACAGCCATGGATCCAATCACAGTGACATTCAGGGTTTTCAAAAAAGGTGTTCTGTTGTACCACTGATTGGAAGAGAGCTATTTCAATGGATTGTGATACCTGTACCAGCAGTCAGAGAAAAGCTGGCTGATTCCCACAGCTGATCACAACAGGAGACTATCCCAGACAGACTGCTCTTGAAAAGCACTTGAACTTTGGCTTTTCAACTTTAACAAGTCCCAGAATGTACTGGGGAGCTGTTTTGAGACCAGCAGAGATTTTACTCTGACTGAAAGAAACAAAATACAGAACACAAGCATGAAACAGTGTTGATCTCCTTCTGAACACTTTTACCATTCTCATTTGGCATTTTATTTGGATGTTGAAAAAAAAAACTATGGACAGAAAGGAGTTTACAATCCTATAGCAAAAGGCTTTAAGTTTCAATCAGGACAGACTGTCAAAAGAGTGATACTTTCTTACAAGTCTTTAAGTAAAAATACTTCACCACATGTGAAAGAGCAAAGAGATGTACTGATGAAGCCTTTTACAACTGCTTTACTCTCATTCACTTTAAGGTTTAAGGGTTTAAAAGCAGTCACATGAACTTTGAATATTGCTGTCCTTTGTATAACATTTGCACCGTGCATGTGCCGTCACATTACAAAGGAAACAAACACAGATCAGAACAAAGACGTATTAAAATCCCTTTCAGATCTAAAAATTCATCCTTTTCAGCCACAAAACCGAGTTTCCTCTACAGAGCAAATGTTACTGGATCTTGTGTATGAGCCACAGAGTAACCCATTACCCTGTCTGCATTTCATCTGTATCTTAAAACATTGTATTAAATCGTCCGTATAAAAAAAAAGAAAAAAGTAAAACAGGCAACATCAGTTAGCTGGTTTTCCCATTAAAAGTTCCCTGGAAACATTCAAGTAATGTTTTCCAAATCTCCCCTCCGGCGGTCACTTCCACATACTGTCTTCATTAGCTCGGCCTCCCTGCTTTGGAAATCTGAGCTTTAGACAGCTTTTAAACTACATTCTTCAGATTCCCTGTAAACAACAAGAGAGAGATGGGGTGAAATTGATTGTGTACACATTCTGAGGAACCACAAAAACCTCACTCCTTACAAAAGCGAAATTGTACCATAATTTAACTTCCCTCCATTTTAAAGAACCCTAGAAGAGCTCTCTGCAGTTATAACTCAAGACTACATGACTGTCAAAGCCTGGTTGACGCAGTGACAACAAAGAGGAGGTGGTAGGATTCTCCGCTTCAGAACAGTTAATGGATAAATCATTCCAGTGGAACTGTGTTGCAGGGCTGTCCCACAACATGTGCAATAATAAAAAAAAAACAATGGAAAGTGACAGACTGGCCACAGGTCTGCTTTGCATTTCACACACCCCATTTGCTTCTGTAAAGTTTATTTATAAATAAAATGTTTTTTTTCCCCTCATGAAAAACGACAAGCCAGACTGCAAAAACAGACTTAAAAAAAAAGATTTAAAATACAATAAAAATGATCTGCTGCAGTAAAATTCACTTATCAAATCTTTCACTGCTACAATCGTGCTCTGACCACATATTCTGTGTGATACAGGTGTAGTATTTACAGCATTAATCAGTGTCTTTGAAACCAACTAACCACCAATCCTGTACGGAAACCAACAACAAAACACTTTTTATAGATGTAAAGAGTAGAGTCCTGAAGAACAAACAGCATTTAACAAAACCTCACATTCAAACTGAGGGGAACATGAGAAGATAGTATTTTATACACCCCCCTCCTTCAGTTTCATGACAGACAACATTCATTCTTTGACATTACTTATATTTTCTTGAGATACTGTTTGAGCTATCCAGTTCCAAATCTTATTCCCGTTTCTAGCAGTGTCCTTCTATGTTGAGGTCATTGTGTTCATTTCAGATATCCTAGTTGCACAAAAAGGGTTGTTATACTGTGTAGCTCGGCATCTTTCAGTTTTGAATAATCTAGCACTGTAGCTGCAGAATCCCATTTCTTTCTCAGAAACCTACAATGGGTTTTCTTCTTATTCTTTTTAAACCCAGACTCTTCTGATACAGGTCATGAAATGAATTCACTCTCCCTGTTCTCACAGATGTTTTATTCCATTTTGCATTCCAACACTTTGCATGATAACTCTTCAGAACATTCCAGATTCCATTAATGGGGATGTATGCTCTGGCCAGTCTTCTTCAGCTGTAGTTTAAAGGACTCAATACCTTCGCAGTCTTTTCTCTCTTTTTGGTTTTGATTTTGGAGCCAAGGCCCTGAAAATGCAGCTCACTGTATATGCTGTTTTTTCAAATTGCCACTAAACGTTACTTTCAATACCTTCTAAATCGCTTTTATTAAATATGAGTATTTAACATTTAACGCCCAATATTTTCAGAGCAAAAGGTCATTTTCATTCCTTGGAAATGTAATTGTGCATGGGGGTGCCTAATAAAGAGCTTATCTCTAAGCACCTGCAACTATTTTATGGTATGAACTCAAAATTCATTGCTAGAAATTAATTAAAATGTATTTTTTACGCTCTGGCTGAAGTAATGCAAGTTTATTTTTATGCAACATTAGGTGGTGTTTCCAAAACTTTGAGCAGCTTTAGATAATGTGTATGTGTGTGTATTTTGAGCTAGCAGTCTCATAAATGCTCCCCAGATGTTACCCGAAATTCCAATAATGTGAAACAACTGCAGGGCCCACCATTTATTACCTATGCTAATCAGTCACAGCAGCTGCTAGCAAAATATTGTGATATCCCTGGGTGGATAATCGCTGACTCAAAAATACACGCAAGAGTTTAATGAGCAAGCTGTCAAGCTTGTGCAGTGGTACGTCTGTGAGCTTATCCATTTATAGTCACCCCACTTGTGTTTTGCCCATACGAAAGTAACTCTGCATCAGAATTCCGTGGTCGTAATAAAAAAGGAAAAACGTGCGACACCCCACACTAAAGAAAGTTAGAATTACATCAGCCAAGCAATAAGTGAAATTCAGGGCTTGATTAAAGAAAGCTCTCTCAAAAAATGGGATTCTGGAGTATGCCAGGCTTTGAAGGCACAGGAAGCACATCAATTTTAATTCTGGCATTGCAGTGGGGTTGACAGAGCAGCCCATCTCCTCACCATGTTACTTCATGCTGGGCACTGCATTACATATTCTGCGTGGATAATCCCAGACAAGCAGCCATGAGCCTTTTAAGAGCCAATCAAGCTTGTTGTGCTTTGAATGCAATGTACAAATCTGTGTTCCATCCCCACTATGCCCTCAGCTTGCCCCTTGCATCGGTTTGCCAGGAGTGGAAAATATCCGGAATGAAATAAAGAGCAAAGTTAAAGAAAGTGGTATTTACCTCTGCTGGCAGAGCAGATTAGCATCACATTGCATGTGTAGTGCATTGAGATGAACCAAGCATCAAGGGAAAGCGTAAACAAAGACTACAGTTTGAGCTACAAGTATCTGATGACAAAATATTTGTTTTCAGTATTTTTCGTGATAACAAGGGAATGGTTTCGCAGTCAAAAACAGAAAGGGACCTTTGCTTATCTGCATATGTTTCTTCCAGTAACACCCGCAGGAAGGTCCCACACTTTCAGACAGGCAGAAAGGCCCTGGAGTGTCCAGGCACACTCCCACACCCTAACTCCACAGTCTTGCATGCTAGACAACAAGAAAAGCTACACTGTATATCCTTTTAAAAAAGAAATAAACCAAATGTCTAGGATTTTGTCATTACAACTAATGTTAGACTCTCTGACCTGAGATTGCAGCTCTAGAGCCTGTGTTCCTTAGAACCTGAACCCTCACAAGGAATTTGTCAGTGTGCAGGCAATAAAATAATCTGACCAAACATAAGCTTTTGGTAACAAGCTCTGAGGACTTTTGTGTCATGGAAATACCAAGAGTTCTAAAGTTTTGTTATGGATCACATTTCTCTTTGTGTTCTATAAATGCCATGATTGATTACATAAAAAACATGAATGACCTATAACTGCTTCTAATTAAAACACACACAAAAATATCAGGAAGGGGCAGCTTTACTAAAAGTCTAACCAGCAGTGCAGTTATTAGCATTCTGTTTCAAGTTAGAAGTGAAACAAGCTGGGCCTATCTTTCATCTCTGCCTACAGCACTTTAACGATCAGAAACGTCAAGACCACAGAGAGGCCTCCCAGTGAAAAATACAATGAAGGTACTGGTGTCTTTTTAGTCGATTGAAAAATAGGTTTGGTCTAGGCAATTCTCCAGGTCCAGCTCAAGAGATCAGTGGACTGAGGTGAAACCTGGCCACAGACCATCCACCAGTATTAACATTGTTTATATGGGCAAATGTCACAAAATGAAAAATGTACCAAGGGCATCTGTAGACAGAATTTGAAAACGGGGAAAGGTCTGTTAATCAATTCACAATTACATGAAAACGTTAAATGCAGTTTTTCAAAGCTCAGCCTAAAGCTAAATCTCTTTATCCTGAAACTGGAGAATTACCAGTGATGCAGGAGATTCTGCATAAGCCCCAGAAGAAGGAAACACTTGGTGGACCTTGAATGAGAGAGCATTTGTAGCACTGGTGTCCTGGACAAATGCAGCAGAGTCAATGTCCTGCCCAAATTCCCTTAAAGCCAGTTTTACGGGCCATTCTCCCTTCGATCTCTGCCCAGAAAGGCGATGTAGATGGTGGTCGGTGTGATTAATTTCAGGGACCCCTGGCAGGTGAACTGTGCTACATGTGTAGGTCTAATCTGTCTTCCCTCACCTACAGGGCAATTCACGTGTCCTCATATACACTGGGAGTACTGTTACATTAAGAGGTGGTACAGAGAACGCAGCTGCACACAGCTCTCTATTCTGGGGCCCCCAGCCTCCTCAAAGCTTCCACACATTTCTCCACAGCCACAAGAAGTCAAAACAAAAACCCTTTAATTATCCTCCACCAAGATGGCTCAGCTGCAGTGTGCTTAAAAACATGCAAGGCCTGTTTAATGACAAGTCACTAAGCCACAGAGCTTTAAAGTCGCTTTCACTCTGGACGTCTATTAAAGACACGGAAAATAAAGACAGGCCCAATCGTATTGGTTTGAAGAAATGGGAAATCAGTCTGGCAGTATTCAGTCCCTTCCACAGATGGACTAGGATGCACTTATTTAAGATAAACTGTGCTCTGGAAAATCACAGGCCTGGTCGCCCTCAGCTGTCACGCATGTAAATGTGCTTTTGAAGGTTCACAAGCATCCATCATGCACTGCCAGACCCCAGAGATCAATTACTACAAGAACAAAAAAAACAAATTCACTGCAACGCTGCCAAGCTAGGTGTCAGGAGGGCGGAGGTGAAGGCATGCGAGAAAAGGGAGTGTAAAAAAGCATGTTGGCCTTTTCAGCTGTATTAGAGACAGAGTCAGATAATTAAGATGCCCCTGTGTTCCCAATTGCAGAAAAAGCCCACAGAGGCAGCCTGCTGCGCCCTGTCAACAGCACTAGGACAGGGAGTGGTGAACAGGCCTTTTCATCTCACACTGCACACATGGGGCAAAAAAACACTTATTTTAGGTTTGCGAATGTAGCATTTGGGTATTGATAAGCTACGAGCAGTGGAAAATTGGCTAAATCTCTTTCTGATTTGCCAGTGTTTTTATGTTCACTAGCATTTCAGAAATATGTGTAAATCAAGCCCTGTGTTTTTATCCCAGGCATAGGTAGACAATTCACCAGCTTCCACTGATAAGTGAGACAGGAGGCTGCTGAATACCCTTCTGTGGTGCAGAGACTGGCCAGACCCATCACAGCAAGCCCAGTCTGGTGAAGTTACTGAGCTTTAGGGTGGATGTCAGCCCCCCCCCCCAGCTTCCCACCAACTTCTCTAGACTGCTCAATGTTCCTTGGAATTGACATTGCCCACTGGGACACAGACCCTTTTCAAAGATAGGCCCTCCATCTTTGGAATACTCTCCCTGAACATCTAAAAACTGCACCCTCTGCTGATGTTGTTAAATCTCGCCTCAAGACTTACTTGTTCTCAATGGCTTTCAATTCCTATCCTAATTCTTTCTGTTAATTTCAGAATTTATAGATACATTTTGTAGTATTCTTTTCCCGCTTCCGTTTCTCTTTTTCTAGTTTTAACTTATGTCCAAGGTGCTTATCATTGAAAATGATAAGATTTAAGGACCGTTAAAGAATAAAATTGATTGACTGACAACAGCCATTTCCAATTGCTTTCAAAGCCAACTTTCTGATTTCCTCAAAAACCCTACACATTTAGGAGGACCAGTAAGTGTTTTCGTGTGAGCAAATGTGCAGGACTTGAAGAAAGAGACAAAAAAATCTGAGTGGAACTTCCTCAGCTTGCAAGGCTTAGATCTCACCCGAGCCGCTGACCTCCATTTCACTCGGAATCTGACATGAAGTGGAATGTGCAGTGTCAGTCCTAATGCAGGTCATATTCCCTTTTCTTTGCATATTGGCTTCAGATGGCCCCGGCCGCAAGAAACCGAGGAAAAGAAAGGAAAGCAACTGGGAACATATGCCTGTGGTCGGCGTCACATCTGTTCCTCCACAGTGAGATGTGTTTTGAAACTGAATTCATAAAGTGTTCTTCCTATGGTGGTCAGTGGATAAAGGGGCATTAACCCCCTCACAGCCGCTAACATCTTGTGCTGCAGCCAGGGAACTGACTAAGGGGCTGTTTCATAGCACCAACCTGCAGTGTTGGTGCAGCACAAGGGCCTGGAGGCAGTTTCATAGTGCTTGCCTACAGTGTTTGTGCAGCTTATGGGCCTAGGGCCAGTTTCACAATGCTGTCCTGTAGTATTGGGGCAGCACAAGGGCTCAGGGGCAGTTTCACAGCACCGTCCTGTAGTATTGGGGCAGCACAAGAGTTCAGGGGCAGTTTCACAGCACCGTCCTGTAGTATTGGGGCAGCACAAGAGCTCAGGGGCAGTTTCACAGAGCTGACCTGTAGTATTGGGGCAGCA